CATATCATCACTAAAAGCATACATAAAGAAATATGGAAACCAAGCCGAACTTGTATACAATAGTCTACCCCTAACCTCTTAATTATTATTACCCCTTTAGAAACCAATACTCCCCTTACTCAACAAATAGACAATTCATTGTATGGATTAACAAATTTATTTACAATAATTTTACATATCCACTCCTTAATTACATAGTCTAGAGGTTTTTAACTGTTCTAGCTAAGAATAGGTCAAAAATAAACTTGAGTCCTAACTTCTCCTTTTCATTAAATATATAAATTTGTATGAGTTGTATTCAATTATATATTTTGAAATAAAGAAATAGAGGAAAGACCTCTTTTAAAAAAAAAAAAACTTTCTGGACCAACTTTCATATTATCAAATTTTATTGTATCATATATTAAATATCTTTTGATAATATATTGTGCTATTTACAATATATCTTTAACTGAATATTATTACCAGAAATAGTTATCATCAGTATAAATATAGTCTTTAAAGTGTCTTTGAAATTGTTATTGGTAAATATCATTACTTTTTAATCCAACATCTTTTATATTAAGAAAACAACTTGTTTTTTGGCTTTCCAGAGTGTTTTTGCATTAGCAAAAACTTTCTTTGTATTATATATTGCTTGAAGCTTTATAACATCCTGGTTATTTTTTACAATAGATTGTTGAGTAAATATCATTAGAGATAGGTATTAATTTACAGACTCTAAAGTCATCATTGGTAAATATTGTTGCCACTAATATTCAATACCTTTTACAACAAATTGGTGAAGTAATATCATCAAATCTCTCTTTTTATATAGCCTGAATTTTATTAGAAAACTTATAGTGCTAGCTTCTTATACATTAAAATTTAAAATGATTGAAGTGGCTAAAGAAGTTAATAATTGGGATACTGAATACACAAATAAAGCAGATAATATCAATACTGAATACACAAATAAAGCAGATAATATTGATACTAAATATACAAATAAAGCTAATAATGTTTATACTGAATACACAAACAAAGCTTATAATATTAATACTGAATACACAAGTAAAGCTTATAATATTGATACTGAAAACACAAAAGAAGATAATGTTAATTTACCAATATTCTCCAAAGAGATTACAAGTTCTGATTTGTTTGTTGGCAAGATTTTTATAACATGGGAATTATGTGATTTATTTGTTAGTGAATGGGCTAAAAAAAAAGCTTTTATATGAAAAAAGATCGAGTACTACAGGAAGAAGATATTATAAAGAAACATATATACTTATGTAATTATACTGTTTCTATAATTCAAAGTCTAAAAAGGATACTACTACAAAAAAAACTAGATGCCAATTTCTTGTTAATTGTTCATGTTCAAAGTTTAATGATCTGAATTCTTAA